TTCTTCTTCCAGGCAGGCCGGAGTATCAGGAGAGCAACCCCTTTCCTGTAAGGCTTCCTCTAGTTGCCACCACACTTCCTTTCAAAAACAGAATGTCCAGGCTTTCAGTGCCTCGTGACTTTTCTTCACGCTACTTCTATCATTGCCACAATTCCTGGCATATTTTGTAGATTCCTATTTTAGCACAGGAATTCCAGTCACAAAGCTGCCCCTCTCACAAGAACTAAAATAGTCTTCATACAGCAATTCTTTTTTCTTTTTAAAATCACAACTCTTTGATAACTATGTCCATGCTGCTTCAGAAGTCTGACAGCCTAAAGAGGCTTTTAGCAGGCCTAGCAGAGAACGCAGTACAGTACATCACATCGCTCTAATATAATCCAATGCTTTTTGGGGCAATTTTTATAATACAAATTTAATCCCACCCTTAAAAAGTGGTAAGAGAGAGAAAATGGTTAAGAAAGGTTTCTGCTGAAGCTCTTATGCACGAGTAATAATAACTACTCCAGTTCTTTTTTTAAACCACTCGACTACAATTCCTGCTGCGATTTCACTTGTCTGTATCATTGTTCCTTTCCTGTTCTGTGCTATTGCAGTGGTGGGTTAAAGCAGTTGTATTTTATGTCCAAACATGGCTGTTGTCTGGACTGTATTTCTCTCTTACCTGCCTGATGGAAGTTTGCGAGACTCAACTATACATTGAGATCCTCTGGAAGGTGAATGGACACAAACAGTCTGGCCATGGCAGAGCCCTACAGAAACAGATTCAAAAGCTGATGACCATCAAGATGTCTTTCACTTATAGAATCATAGAATGGTTTGGGTTGGAAGGGACCTTAAAGCTCATCCAGTTCCAACCCCTGCCACAGGCAGGGACACCTTCCACTAGAGCAGCTTGCTCCAAGCCCCTGTGTCCAACCTGGCCTTGAACACTGCCAGGGATGGGGCAGCCACAGCTTCTCTGGGCACCCTGTGCCAGCGCCTCAGCACCCTCACAGGGAAGGATTTCTTCCTAACGTCTCATCTCAATCTCCCCTCTGGCAGGTTAAAGCCATTCCCCTTTGTCCTGTCCCTACAGGCCCTTGTCCAAAGCCCCTCTCCAGGTTTCCGGTAGCCCCTTTAGGCACTGGAGCTACTCTAAGGTCTGCCCTTAAGGAGCCTTCTCCAGGCTGAACAAGCTTGGCTCCAGAGCAGAGCTGCTTCTCCCCTTGCAGCATCTCCATGGCCTCTGGACTCCAACAGCTTCCCATCCTTCTTATGAAGCAGTGGCTTCACCAGGAATTGGGAAGAACATGCTCTATTATAAAAAAAGGCAAAAAAAAAATCCCTTTTCCCAAGCTGTGGCACCTTTCGGGTGCCAGGGATATAAATCACTGATGTAATTAGTGTATAACATGATTCTTTCCTGGGCAGTCAGTGTCAGCATGAAGCATCTGGAGCTATGCTGTGTCTGTGCCCAGGCACAGGCCTGTGAGCACACAAGTGCTCTGCAGCATCATGGGGTGATCCTGCAGTCCTGCCTCCAGGTGAGGAAACCCAAACTCACCTGGATTCTTCCCAAGAAACACCACCCTGTGCAGGTGTAGGACACTCTACCCCTCAGAGCATTATTTCTTTAAATATATATTTTTCTATTTAATCCCTGTTCTTACACCTGGAAACACGAAATTTTCTGGTTTTTTTTCCCCATATCCTTCCAGAGGTACATAAGGATGCTCTGGATGATAATTGTTCGGTCCCTCTCTGCATCCCACATGCTATACACTGGCTATTTTTGCCAAAGATACAGCAATGCAGATCAGGCAGCAGGATGCAACTGCAGCGTGTATCCCTGGTGCAGGCACGAACAGGACAAATAACTGATGGAGCTGGACAGAACAAAAGGATTTTACTTAACTAGGTGCCACTCAGCGCTCCAAGGAGACCTGCAAGCCTGAAGCGTTCACCCATTTGTTCACACAAGAATCGGGTTATTTAAACAGCTCTTGTAGGTTTTTCTTTTCTCCTGAAATTAAAATTAAACATTTAATAAGGCAAAAAAAATATTAACACCTTTGCTGAGGTGTGGAAACTTGCTGAGGAGTGGTGCGGATGAACAGTTCCTCTGGGAAGTGGGGGGTACAAACATGAGAAAGAAAACACTCATTACAGACAAGCTAGTGCAAGCCACAGAAAGAGCCATCCCTCGTCCACACACCGTGGCTGCTGTCTTAACCAAGCCCTGCCGCAAATTAGATTACAGAAAAAATGAGAATAATCCATTTTCGGGCTGTCTTCTGCCTCCCATCAGGCTTATTTTTAGCCTTTTCTAGAACTAGATATAAAATGATCTCCCTGTTCTCCTATTGCAGCAATTTGAAAGTGTCTGACCTTATTTTTGCTTTGCGGATTCTATTATGTGGGGCAGGGGAAGGACTCCCAGAGCTGTCAGCTCTCTCTGATTTTTCTGTGGCGGCTGTTAGAGACAGGAAGGAACCATCAGATGACTCCATGTTATTGCCACCAAAGGAGAGTCCCCTCCATTAGCAGTGTCACAGGTATTACACTGGCACACTAGAGGGCTGCAGAGCATGTGCCATTCTGGGGGTTGGCATCACTAAAAAGAGCATTTCTTCAATGAAATATTTGAAGATGTATTGCAAAGTTGGGGCTGTTCAGCCTGGAGAAGAGAGGCTGCGTGGAGACCTCATAGCAGCCTTCAGTATCTGAAGGGGGCCTATAGGGATGCTGGGGAGGGACTCTTCATCAGGGACTGTAGTGACAGGACAAGGGGTAACGGGTTAAAACTTAACCAGGGGAAGTTTAGGTTGGATATAAGGAAGAAATTCTTTACTGTTAGGGTGGTGAGGCACTGGAATGGGTTGCCCAGGGAGGCTGTGAATGCTCCATCCCTGGCGGTGTTCAAGGCCAGGTTGGACAGGGCCATGGGAGGTGTCCTTGCCCATGGCAGGGGGCTTGGAACCAGATGATCTTGAGGTCCTTTCCAACCCTAACTATTCTATGATTCTAAGGGGGATTTTAAAGAGGCTGGACACTTACCATGGAGATACACCTCAGTGCTGCGTCAAAGCAGAGCTTGGATTTGAGGATTTCACAGCCAGCAAGTGGATTTTAACACCACCCATAAAGGGATATTTGAAGAACACTTCACTCACTGCTGATATTTACCTGTTTAGGGGAATAATGTGATTGCTTTGTTTAGTTTTTACTTTGCAAAAGAAGAACAATAATTAAACGTTGCCCACAATGATAGAAACTCACACTGCTTTCTTAGCCCAGGTAAGATATCCTGGGCCTTTGAAAGCCAACTTCCAGCAAAAAGCCTAGATGAGGATGCAGAGGATCTGTCACGATGGAAGGAAGCAAGGGCTGTGTTTTGAATATCTGAGGGTGGCATGATAAAGACCATGTGTCTGCAGATGGAATTATATAGTTATATGGAATTAAAGAGTTGAGAATATAAAGGGAAGAGGTGGTGAAAGTATAAGCAGTTCTATTAGTGGTGGAAAAAGCCTGGTTTTTTTTCTCTCTGTCCACTCACCATGGTTGTATCTCCATAAACAGAGCAAATACTGGGATGTAACAGCTTGGGACTGGATGAATTTTAAATGCTGGTTTGGTTCTTCAGTTGGGAGCTGCTGGTTTCATGCAGATGGAAAATATGGTCTCATATAGGAAAAAAACCACTGATTCGTTCTGCTGCTTTAGTCAACTTGCAGATTTCCTGCAGGTTAGGCAGGAAGATGCCAAAGGTCAGTTTGGTTGTTCACAGCCATTTGGAGCTCAATTGTGGTCCTTACTCAAAATGCTCATGGCATTTGAAATATGCTGTTCAAAGTTAATTGTTGGCAGCAGGAGCTTCGCTTAAGTACAGGCAGGAGGACTGAGCCAGCTGGTGCTGGCAGTGCTCTTGGAACTGCAAGCTGTGGAAGAGGCTGCAGGCAGAACTTCATGGTTCTCTCAGCCCATCAATTCCCCACATGCACTGACCTTTTGAGGTTAATCTTCTGTGCCACCAAGAAAGGAAAACAATATTCCTAGACTATTCCTAGCTACTTAAGTGCTGTTCTGCAGCAAGAATGGAATTTCTCCATGTGCCTGAAGTTATAAGAAGGCAAAGTGTCCTTGTCCAAAAGCAGCACCAGATCAAGAACTGCTTGGAGTCCTGCTGCTGTCTTGGCTACTGACTCTGCTGCAAGCTTCAGGAAGCCAGATGCTGTCCCCACAAACAGGACTGAAAGCACTTGCCCACAAGGTACAAGGGGCACTTAAATCATATGCTTACAGTGGATTCAATATGTCAATTTGCATTGTCATTGCAAAGGATAGTTCTTGGCAAGGGAGGGCCTTTATCAGGCCCTCCAAGAGGTATTTTAAACTCTCGCCAAGACAGTTTCTTTGCTAAGGCAGCCCTGGCACAGATAGGAAATCTGATCAGATTCCACACAGGTGACTGGAGCACTGAACAGAAGGCAGATTTCCAAGCCAGAAACCCTTCCTGACACAAGGAAATAGAAGAAATCCTGCAAAATTCAGCCTTGCTAGTCTGTTTCCTGCAGCCTGGAACAGTCACAAAGCATCTTACGAAGGTATTGACTTTTAGATGAGTAGATGACCTCTTCACGTGGAGGAATCTGCAAGGCAGGTTTTCAGCAAGCTGTGACTGTAGGTGTGTTAGAGGAATTTACCTGTGGTTGGGTCTTTGGCCATTTTGTCCCCAGACAGAGACACTTCCAGTTCTTCAGTAAGGAGTGTCCTAAGTGCTCTGGCTTGGTCATTCACTGAGTTGCTGCCAGACCACTACCAGATGCCAGACAGGGTTTGCCCAGACTGTTGCAGTGGAGCAAAATAGGACAGCTCCTCATACCTGGTAGCTTAGAGGCTGTTGAAAAGAGGGGTACATAAGGCAGTTCTTGTGGAGAGGAAGAACTATGTTTGTAATCAAGTGGCATCAGGAAGTTCTACAGGATTTTCTGTTTAAAGATTTAATTAGATCATACCTGCTTTTTTGTCATGTTTTACCCCCCTTCTCATTCAATCATGCCAAGAAAAATCAAGACTTCCCCTTTCCCCCATTATTTCAGTTGATGTAAGAATATGATGTTACCATCTTCCATGGTGTTGAAATCCCACCACCTCAAATCTGTGCCCTTCAGTATCTGTCAGAATGATCCATTCAGAAGCAGACTTGGGTACAAAGCTTTGAGAGCTTCTGAAACCCACATCTTCCCTAACTTGGGGAGTCCACATGAGTGTCCCCTGCAGAGCTGTAAGGCAGGAGCTATCTCTGGAGTTCATTTTCTTCTGTGTCCTTGATACCCAAATGAGTGCTGTTGTCTGCTCGTGGTCATACCTGTTCTCTTGCAGCTGCCTGGAAAAATAGAAGGAAAGGTTATTGATTTTTTTTTCCCTGATGCCAGTTTCCTTCTGTGTCAAGAGCTGCTAAAGAGGAGATCTAGAAGCTGACCTATGTTTCTTCCTCTGGAGGCAAACATGCTCAGCACCTTGGTTAAATGAACAGATGGAAAAGACTAACACAGTCTGCACAGCTTTAAGGGTCTGTACTGAGTAGAGACAAAAAGCTGTATTATTTGCTGTACATGATAATCATACTCCGTTGGCTAAACCTGGTGATGTGCAGGAAGAGAAGGGGATTTAAGCCAATTCATTTCTCTAGTGCAGCTGGTGGAGCACCTGCCAGTGCCAGCACAAAGCTCCCATTGGGCTGTGTCCGTGAGAGCTGCTGCTCACTGCAGCCTCCTCCACCATTTCTGTCTCCAGAGGGAAGGGCAATTCCATGCCAGTGGCCACTGAGAGGGCTGCCCACAGCCCAGTCCTGTTTGAGCCTTGCAGTGGGTCAGGTTTCCACAAGCCCCAGGCTTCCTCTCCAGGTAAGAATGAGCGAGCATAAGCAGGCAGCAGAGCTACAGTAACCAGTGGTTTCCCACTCCAGCACAAGCTACTCCTGTGCCTGATTCTCTGTTAAATGTTGTTAGCATCCTTTTCCTTTAGCAAACTGACCTCAGCTCCACCAAATGGACCCTGCTCCTGGGAGGCTGGATGAACCTGTTATGATTATCAAAGCACCAGTGTGTAGACTATTTTTAGCTGAGCCAGTCCTGTCCCTGTACCACTCACTGAGATCTTTCTAGGTTGATGTATTATCATTGCTCACCTTACCTGCAGCTTCACTTTCAGTCATTGTTTTCAGCTGCAGCACACCAGGAGCCTTTTAAATCAAAGCACTGGGTTTCTGCAGCAACACGTTGTTAATCTTGAGCCTCTTGTCCCAAAGTTACTGACTTAACTATCAAGATAGCTTGAGTTCAGCTAAAAAAGGACATGCTTTCTGAAAGCAATCCTTGATTTGGCTGTTCTTACACCGTGCTCAGAAGGCAATAGGCTGTACTAAGGTTTCATGTTCTGCAGCTATTTTTTAGGGAGGAGATGGAGGCATGTAGCAGCTTGTTCAGCATCCTGGGAGAACTCTGTTGTAGAGTGGGGAACTGAAGCCATCTCCCTCCAACTGCAGGTAAAAATGGCAATTGTACCTAGTTCCTGGAGGACAGTACTGGCTAACATATTGACTGACATGTGCACTGCTTGATTAAAAACTCTGTATAATGAAGGGCACAAAAGGGACATGCTTGAACCAGTCTCCAGCCTGCTGGTTTTGCTCTTCTGACAGTGTCTGGCAGAAAGGTGGTGTGTTGTTGGGACCAGTATGTTACAAGTGTGGTAGAAAGCCAAGCTGGCAAAGAACTCTGCAGCAGATAAGGCAGCAGTGAGGCTTCTGCAGTGAGCAAAATGATATGAGAAAGCAGAATAGCCATGGATGACTTTGGTTTAAGGGCAGAAACCTGCGTAATCTCAGTGCCCGCATGTGCAGCCCTGTTGGCACTGTGCATTAGTAGGTGACACTTGGTGCATTTAACAGAATTTAAATCTAAGTCCTCAAGGGAAACATGGCAAAATCCCAGTGAAATGCTGCTGTAAATCCCTATATGGTGAAATACCGGTGAGACAAAGCAGTAGGGTCTGAGCAGAGTATGAATAAGATGCAATAATGTGTTGGGTGTGATCTTACGGTGTTTCCTGGTCCTGTGTTACCTGTTTGTATTGCTGGCAGGCCAACTACAATAATCTTTATATCCTCTCGTAGCTGACTCTGGTTTTGGGGGTGTTGACAGTATGCAGCAGTGATGGAAAATAGGAGTGGGAAGATCTGTAAATCGTGTCCGTTTCCCTCCTGTGTTTACTGAAATGTTAATGTGTTTTGGCAACTGGCTTCAGCAAGGATTTATTTAAGGCAATTGATCCCTGCAGTAACAAGGTGGTGGATGAAGTGAGCCCAGTGCAACACACACTTTCCTGACATTTCTCCCTTTCTGAATCACAGCTGGTAAATCAGGAGGTGGTCGTTGTGCAAAGAGAGGACTTTGCTGTACCTGAACGTGCTTTATGCTCCTCTGCCTTAGTGTTCTCCTTCTTCCTTCCCACTGCAACTGCACTTGTCCTCTTACGTGTGTCAGCAAGACCCCAGTGGGAGCATGACTTCTACCCTAGGATTTCAACTTATGTGATGCTTCTGTGCATTTGGAGATCAGGAAACCCAATACGAAAGCTACCCCAGCTCTCCTACTCCGTAACCCTTTTGTCCATTACCTGCAGGAATACAGTGATGACATACTGTGAGTTAACCTCATGTGCAAGTAACTTCCTCTGTTCATTTATCAGGCAATAACAGTCACTGTTACAGCTGAAAGTCATACAGGGTGGAGCTACAAATGAGAATCCTTAGCCTCTGGGGTTCAGACAGCAACATTCGATTTGAATGCTCCAGATGAGTTTCAGTAGCTGGATTTGCAGAATGCTGCACCAGGCTGGCTGCTAATCACCACTGACATGCAGGTGGAGCATGGCATTGCCTCTAATGCTTTGATGCAAAAAAAAACCCTCTTTAACTAGCTGTACTTGAAAAGGAGATTTGGTTTTCATAGATTTAAGGCCAGGAAGTCTCATTACCTTCAAGGATGTCTGTTCGTGCCCATGTTCCTCGCCTAAAATTCCTGATTTCAGTGCGTTCACAAGACCTTTCAGAGAGGTTTAACCCCCCCAGACAAAATTCAGACAGGGAGGAATGTGCTGAAGGGTGCTGTTGGTGACTGCTATGCTGGAATCCCTCCCTGAAGCACTGCTTCAAACAGGCACTTTAATGGACAATACGTCAGAAACACAGAATTCTTTCCAGTGGCGTGAAGGAAGGAGAAGGATCCTTAATCCCAGGCTAAGGCCAGCAATGTACCTGTACCTGCAGCCCCAATATTCTTGTCTGTGAATGAGCTCCCACTAGTCAAAAAATGAGTTATTTGCAGGCTAGAAGGCCCCCAACGAAGCATTTTAGTGTTGGTTGTAAAAGTTAAGTGATGTTAAGCACAGCAAGCTGGAAAAATTAGGACATTATTTCCTAATATGCTTCTCTGTTACAAAAGCCAGAGCCTGACTTGTTTAGGTAGCAAGAAACCAGGGCTTTTGGAAAGCTGTAGGATACAGAATGTGTGTGGACTGAAAAGGGACAGAGCATTTGGAGAATAATCTCTGCGTAGTTCCTGAAATAGAGGATAGCTGACCTGTGAGGGATCCTGGCCATGCATCTGTTATCTTATATTAGTCTTCTTTTTCTTATGCAGTTCTCTAACAGGCTGTGAAATCAGATCCATTTTACATAGCATCAATATTTAACAGCTCTAGAGCATGTAGTTTAATATTAAACAGACAGTCTTATAAATACTTCAGAATTATAGATGCTGTCACACTACATGGAAATGGTTTGATAGGATCTAGGAGAAATATTTAGGTTTGACAGGAGAGGAAATGATGAGGTTAGAAGGAGTCAGCCACATCTTTAAACTGCTGGAGGAGCCCATGAAAACAACCAAAGAAGCTGTACAGCTCCTGTTCTTGAAAGGCAATTTGGGCAAGCTTCCTCCCCCTCAGGAAACAACGGAATGGTTCCCACCCCGGTCCCTCCAAGGAATGAAAATATTCAAAATCTTGAGAAAACACTGCAGGGAAAATAGAACAATTTAGGAACCAATGTTCAGTCAGCGCGTATCACCAAATCGGAAGCGGCAATCTATTCAGGGTGGGATTATCGCTATTAGAAAGGCAAGTGGGACTTAAACAGGGATTTGGATGCTCTTGAGCCTTGTTAAATCCACATACTACATTGTAGCACTTAAAGAGAATCTAGAATTAGGGGTTTCTCTTTAAAACATCGAGAATCAGAGTAGACCTGCATCACTGAAATGGGGCTGTGCATAAGCCAGTGACTGCTGTCGACAGCCCAGCGCTTCAGAGAGAATGAAGACTGCACCGTCCCACCTCTGGGAGACTATTTCAGTTCCTTCTTCTGCCAGCAGCTTCCCATGTGATCCCTGAAAGTCACTTCTCTCCCCAGCAGGTTCTCAAGTCGTGTGGGGTGCAATTTCCTGTGCAATCCTCTAAATGCAGTTCAGGATTAGCCCCTCCAGGCCTCTGCTCCCATCTGTAACCTAGAGATAAAGCAGGAGTTGAGAGAAATGTGTTAAAATGCAAAGAATAAGTAACTCTCATAACATGGGGACAGCATAAGTAAGTGCTTCTGTGGGAGGTCCATTTTATCCCACAGGAACCTGAACTATAAGTAATAGAAGAAGGAAGGTTGTGTGAATTTATGGTTCATCTGCCAGCGGTGCAGGTGGGTTCTCTGTGCTAAAGTAATGGCAAAACCTAACTTTTCCTGTACATATTCTGTATCTTGTAAAAATGTGGGATGAATTACATGTTAAGGGGCATGCCTGTCAAATATCTGGAGTTTTAGTATTCTATGATAGCTTCATAACATATCATAGTTTATTTCTTATTTCTAAAGCTGACTGTAGCATCGCACGGTTAAATATGTTTTATCTTTCTGATGTGTGCTGATACTAAAGCACAGTTACAATGTTCAGTACAGTGAGATGTCCAGTGCAGCAGGGTTACCAAGAATGGTACAAAGAAACTTAGATCAGCCAGCTCCTGCAGCAAAACCATTTCAGTTTATAGCCCGGAAAGGCACAGAGGCTTCTGTGCATCTTGGAGGCAAACTTTCTGTGAGGTTGGTGTGAAGAGCTGTAGGCTGAGTGGAGCCGATTCCTGATGCAGAGATTTCTTGGAAGGTGTCCCCCACTCACTGGTTAATTTTATCCTGGAACACGGGGCTGAATCCAGCATCATACTTCAGCAAAAATGTCTCCTGGTCAGGAAGGAAGTGTGGCTTTAAGGAATCAGCGTTTCCCAAAGGAAAATGATGTTTCACTGAGAAGTTCTTACCTGGGAGGACCCCAGGCAGTGATGGCTCCTGTGATCTTCCTGTAAACCTGCCCAGCTTTCCACTGCTTCAGAAACAAGCTGCGCTTTTACCCATGATGGCAAAGTCCTGCTGCAGTCCGAAGTACTGCTGCTTCAGTGCATTTGTTACTTTAAGTTAGCACAGCCAACGGAATGAGAAGACTCTTTGTGACTCAGATTTATTCTCCAGTTGACCAAGTACAGCTGA